GCCCCGCCCCGCCCCAGCCCCCCCCCCCCCTCCAGCGCAGCCCAGTCTCTCGGCGCGCCGCTCTTCCGGAAAAACTTCAGACGACTCCTCCCCGCAGGGTGACCCCGTGAGGCGGGCACGGCGACCCCGGGAGCCACCGGGCCAGGGCTCAGGATTGGCCGGGACCCGAGAGTGTGCAGGGGAGCGGGGATGGGAGGGCTACCCGGCCCAGATGGGGTCTGCACCGCAGGGCCACCCCAGACTTTAGGAAAGGTCTGCCGGGATGAGACTCTGGAGCTAAGAAGACCTCAGACCGAAACACCAGCTGGTCAGGAGGAAGGCAGAGGCGAGACAAGGCGGGCGACGGGACGTAGGGTAGGGGACAGAGCGAGGGGGCGGGGGGGCTGGAAAGTGCACGCCACATCCCTAGAGCAAGGCGACCTAAGGCTTCGGAGGAAGGCCTCTGGGCGGCGACTGTACCGCGGCTGACAAAGAGCTCAAATCAAAATCCTGCCACCGGCCCCGCCCTGCGCCGGGCGCGTGCCAGGTCCCGACGCTCAGCCCGCGCTCCGACCAGCCAAAGCACACGAGGATTGGCCACCCAGGCCCACGTGTCACACGGGGCCGAATCTGCGATCCGAGGACCACAGCCCCGCTCCCGCCGACTTTGCGCGTGCGCACTCGGGGGCGGGTGTACAGGCTGCCCTCCGAGCTTGCGAGGGCCTCGAATGACCTGCAGGGGGCGCCGAGCGCTCACCGGTACCTCCCGGGGCGTGGCTGAGGGAGTGCAGAACCGGCCCTGGGCGCCATCATTCGGAGGCTATTTGTCCCCTCCCTAACTCGGAGCCTTGATCCGAGGAAGAGTTGCGCCAGCTCCGGGTCGGGCTCCAGGTGCCAAGGCTAGCTTGGACCGTAGGCCTGAGATAAAGGCCTCCCCACACACAGGAAAGGAGGAACCGGCCTTAGTGTGATGGCCGAAGGCCTACTGGAAGGGGGCGGGGAGGTACCGACTTTCTGACCCGGGGCAGAAGGCGAGCTCTGGAGCTCTGCAGCTCAGGAGCTGAGCCCCGGCCACCTCCTTAGTACAGGTATTAGCTAGGAGGCGCAGAGCCAAGGCATCAGGCCACACAGAGTGGGAAGTCTACAAAAGGGTTTATTTTCTTCCAGCCAGGTGGGCACAGCAAAGAGCTAGTTTACATTCTTGGCTGGGGTGCAGGAGTGTCCACAATGCCCCCCCAAAGCCCAGGGGAGCTAGTGTCCCTGAACTGTTGTCCTGACCCTTCCCTCTCCCTTCTCCCAGCCCTGCCAGCCCTGAGGCTTTCTGCTGCATCCTGGCAGAGGGGTTGACTGTCCCAGGGGCCAGAGGCCAGCCCAGGTAAGCAGGGGCCTGTCCTGTGCAGAAAGTGGAGCAGGGAGTAGGACAGTCCACAGATTGAGGATCTGCTGAGCCTCTCCAAACCCGGGCAAGGTCAGGTGGTAACCAGGGTTCCTCTCCCAAGGAAGGAAGGCTAAGGGTTGAGGCCCCTAGCCAGGCTCCTTAGGGTGTCCCTGCATCACCCAGAGGTCTTCACAGGGCTGTCTCCTTGGCGGCCCTGGCCCCCAGCTGCCTGGGAGGCTTGAAGCTGAGCACTTCTTTATAAGTGACACCTGCAGAAGGTGAGAGGGACAGTTGGCCTTTGCTTTACCGTGGGCAGAAGCCAGGGCTCCTAGGCTTTCCTCTAATCCTAACTGGGCCAGGTACAGTTGGGAGTTTGTGTGGATACTGCTAAAAAGCAGATTTTTCCCACAGAAACAGAAGGAGCAGGAGCTTGTGTGTCTGTCCAGGGGCCCCATGGTAAAAGCAAGATCTCCCAGCCACAGTGTGTGTAGGTGGGGACCACAGGCAGGAACCTGTGGCCTGTGGTTTTTGAGTTATCTCGCTTGGCAGCAGAAGCCTTTCATCACACAGAACCAAGCCCATGACACAGCAGAGAGGCAAAAAGCTCCTGCAAGAGGTGCAGGGAGCCGTGATGTGAACACCTCAGTCTGCCCAGGCATGGGAGTGCAGCCTTGGTTCTGAGACAGACAAAACAAGGCCTGGAAGTCAGTGGCATGGCCCAGTGCTGACCTGTGCCCTCAGACATGCTGGACCCTGGACTGAGCTGCATAACCACCTGCCATTCTGGAGCACATTGGGGCTCAGGTGCAGGGGAGGGGAGGTCTCTGAGCCCACCTGAGGGTCATCCTTAAAGAGGAAAGGCAGGCCCTCAGAGTAAGAGGACACAGCTGGCACACAGCCCCAGGGAGCAGATAAGCTACCACAGTGGGGTGTGAATTACTCAGAGGGGCTGGGGGGGGCTACAAGTGGTGGGCCTTCCCTTGCAGGCAGGACAGGAGGAGCATAAGGCAGTAGAGGTGGCAGGGGTCCTGGAATGGGGTAAGGAGACACAAGGGCAATTCAAGAGATGTGAGCAGAAACCTGGGGACATGAGGAGGGGGCTCCAGGATCTCTGACCTAGATACCAGGGAGGCTGGGCCACTCAGGGAAAAGCCAGTGGGCACTGCTGCTCTAAACTCAGAGCTGCTCCAAAGTTCCTGGGCTCATCCTGGACCACCCTCTGTACCAGGGTTTGAGGCCCTGCCAGAAACATCCTTGCCACTGCTCCAGAGGTCACCTTAGCCAAGCTACGCAGCCCCGCACTCCCATCCTCTCCCTCACTGGACCTGCACAGGGTAGAGACATGGGCCTGGCCCATACCCCCAACTCACGCTTCCACTCATCCAAGGTGAGGTCCACGTCATCCACGGAGTCATCATACTTTTGGGCCTTGGGCTCCTCTTCTGTGTCATGCAAGGACTCAAAATAGGGATGGGCCAGCGCCTCACCTGCTGTCACACGCTGCTCCGCATCCAGCACCAGCATCTTCTCCAGGAGGTTCACAGCTGGGGAGGGTCACAAGCTAGGTCACGGGCAGGTCTCACACTCAGGGCCCGACTCCCCAACTACCCGGTCCTACCCATGGGGCTGGCATTGGTCAAGACAGAGGCAAAGTCCTTCTTCTCCAGCTCAGGAAGGCCCTTCATATAGTTCTTAGCCTGTGCAGGAAAAGAGTGAGGGCCCAGACCCAGGCCCGGGCCCAGAGCCAGCTGGCTGGCCCACCTAATCCCCCACAGACCTCTGCACTCTGCAGTTTCTGCACAAACTCAGCAGGAGGCGTCCCCGTCACCTTCATGATCTCCTTCAACTGGTCCAGGTCTGCACCAAGGTCAGGAGCAAAGCACAGGGCCAGAGGGCAGGGCCCACACACCCATACACCCACCCAACACTCAGGGCAAGAGCCCCACAGTGCCTCAGTGAGAGGATACGGTCATTGCCCTTGAACAGTATCTTCCCTGTAATCATCTCTGCCATGATGCAGCCCACCGACCAGATATCCACTGAGACAAAAGCCCCGTCAGTGTCCCATGGGCAAAGTGTGGCATGCGTAGACATAAGGGATAAGGTAGGGGTCCGGGCAAGGAGGGTTTGACCTGCCCACGCCCTCACCAGGCTCCCACCCCAACTTAATAACCTCCTTAGGGTCTGCAGTGCTCTCTATCATGAAACGGAAGCTGGGGTGTGGCTCAGTGTCAGAGCTCTAGCCTAGCACATGTGAGGCCCTGGGTCCCATCCTGAGCATCACAGAAACCAGGAAGGAGGCAGGTGCAGTTCAGGGGGCCCTGAACTCAATGCGGGGGCCCTCACCCGTCTGTGTGTAACGCATCCAATTCAAGATGACTTCAGGTGCCCGGTACCACCGGGTCACCACGTATCCCGTCATCTCACTGTCTGCCTGTCGGGCCAGGCCAAAGTCCAAGATCTGCAGGAAGAATTGCAGATGCAGGGAGTGGAAGAGGTAGCTGTGGTCCCAGAGAACCCAAGGGACCTGGCCTTCTGACACCCTAGCAGGGCTCAAGGTCACGGCGTTAGACCCCAAGGTTTCTCCCTGGCTCCTCACAGTGCATTCAGACAGACCCATTTGAGGGACAAGTGCCAGGGTTCTCTTTACCCTGCTCCACCATCCCCAGTTCACCTTCAGGAGTCTCCACAGCCCAGCCTGGGTCAGGCATGGGAGCTGGGGGTGCCCCCTACGTCACTGAGGTAGGTATGGAGTATGCCCAATGCCACCCCAAGTACCTCAGTCATGGCCCATCAGCTGCTTAGCTTGGGCCCAGATGCCCTGGGCCTTGCCCTCTGCCTGGGCCTGGAGCTGGCAAGCGCATGGGCATGTGGAGAGGACCCCGTGCCCCACCCCGGCCACCCTCCCCTCCCAGCCACACCTTCAGCTCACAGTCCTCATTCACAGCCAGGTTGCCGGGTTTCAGGTCCTAGGCAGAGGAAAGGCGACCACTGTGCCCTGTGACCTCAGCACAGGTGAGGCCTAGGGCCGGGACAGTACCCTCAGGGGCCACCAGACGGGGCCTGGCCCTTTGCCTCTACAGCCTTTTGAGGAAGAGTACAGGGGCTGGGTCCACAGGGGTTACTTGCAATAGGACCATGCGTGGGACCCAGTGTGTACCCCACACGGGCCCCACTGTACCTTTCCTACATGTGGGAAATGGAGGTGGGGACTGAGCCCCTCTCACGCCCGCAGCCAGGGAGGGGGACTTACCCTGTGGATGATCCCAGCAGCATGAATATACTGTGGGGAGGAGGCAGAAGCCATCAGCCCAGGGACCCCAGCCGGAGCCCTGCGGTCCTCTTCCCATTGCCGCCCCTAAAGACCCCACCTTCAGCCCCTTCAGCATCTGATACGCAAGGAACTGGATCCGGTCTTCGCTCAGTGTCTCGTGCTTCATGAGCTTGCCTAGATCGGTGCCCATGAATGGCATTACCAGATAGCTGTGGGAAAGGACTGGGGGCATTAGTGGGCAGGGCCTGGCCCTGGATCTTGGCCAACACCCAACAGGGCCCAGGCTCGGACCCTAGAAGACCCCACCCCAGCAGCAGCTCCTCAGGGTCCTGCAACAGCCATCCCCCCAGCCTAGGGGGTGCCGTGGCTCTATCCAGCACTGGTCCCCCAAGGCACTCTCAGCAACACCCCACCTTCTCAAACATGTGCCCACACCTATTCCAGCCACACTCCCCAGCAGGGGGCACCAGGGTTTCTGAATGTCCAGATGAAAGGGGTAGGGAAGAGGGATTGGGGAGGGACACTAGAGTCAAAAGGATGGGCTTACAGGTGGAGATCGGGGAGTGGCATTAGCAACCCCAAAGGACACCAGGTCTGCTGCGGGCCCGTGATCTCTGCCATCCAGGCAACAAGGAACCTGGTGCCTGCCCCCTCCAGCCCTCCCCATGCCCACCCCTTGGCCTCCCACCAGTAGCAGTGTAAATCATGGCAAGGGCAGTGTTGGCCTCCTGGCTGCATCTGCCAACAAAAGTCAGCAGCTTTGGTTTCAGGCCATGCACTGGTGCCAGGGTCCTGAGCATGGGCCCTGCCTGTTCACAAACACCAAGTCCAAGGTTCACACCTCCAGTACTGTGAGAGGAAAGGCACCAGTCATGGAGACGGCAGAAGGCCTCAGCTCTGCCCGGGCCTGCCAGAGTCCTCAGGCCCCAGAAGCAATGGAATATAGCGTAGACTGTGGTGTAAGGCAGCCCCCAAGCCAGCCCAGAACCTAAAGCTAGCATCCAGCAGCCACTTGTGCCTCCCCCAGCCTGCCTGGCAGGCCCAAGTGGCACTCACAAATCTGTGAAGTCATCCAGTGTCTCATCAGGAGTAAAAACGTCCAGGAGCCCAATCACCTGGGGACAGGGTATTGGGCAGAATTTGGACCACAGAGAACAGAGGGCTAATGCCCCCAGGGTAGTAGAACACTCCCCCACACCCAGCTGTCCTTGTCTGTGCCCACGGGCAGCATGGCCCAGCCCTGGCACATCTGCCCACAGACATCGACTATTTTTGGATTGTGACAGCCGAGATCCTCCAGGGAAGGCGCAGCCCCATGTCCGCACTGGCTCCCAGCAGTCCCAGAGCTCTAGCCACTTTGCCTTCCCTCCCCCTGGTCCTCCTCTCGACCAAGCTGACCCAGGGCCAGGGTGGCGACAGCTCCCTGGGAAGAGCCAGCATCTAGCAGATCCTTCCTGGAGTGAAATCAAGAGGCAGCCAGACCCAGGCACCTAGAGCCCCTGGTTAAGGGAGATGGATATCAGCCATCCGTTGTGACACTGGCTTCCCCAGGAGTTGGGGGTGACAAGGTATGTAGCCTCTCTGAGGAATAACTAGAAGGGCAGGTGGGTATGGTATCAGAGGACACATGCACAGTGACTGAGGCCAGAGGAAGAGCACTTTGAGTCTGAGGCACAGGAAGGAAGGCCAGGTGGCCAAGGCCCAGCCAGGAGGAGCCAAGGAGAGGCCAGAGGGAGCCTGGGTAGAACTCACACAAGTACAAAGTCTGGCTTTGATTCCGAGAGCCACCACTCTGGAAGGGGTGAAACCAGGGTGTGACGGTGAATGTGACTGGCTGGCTGCCTTGTAGAACACAGTGGAGTGAGCAAGAAAGGACACAGGAGGTGGAGGGCAGCTGCTGACCACATGAGGCCAGAACGTGGATGAGGGGAGGAAAGGGCCTGGTGGGGGCCCAGGAGGACCCAGCAGTTTCAGGACAGGGACCTGGGTCCTGGAGGCTGAGGCAGTTCTGACAGAGGGACAAGACTTCTGTGCCTCTGTGATAGGGACAGAGGCCCCAGAGAAGGACAGGAGGGGCCCGAGGTGACCAAGGGGGAGCATGAGGCAGAGCTGGCTGGGGCCTATGGCAGCTCCCCACCCCCACTGAGTGGGACCCTCAGCCTCTCCTGGCCCATTTCCCGCTGGGAGCAGTGCAGGGCAGGTAGAGCCTCCCAGCTTTAGTTCAGGACACCCTGGAGACCACAGTGGCCAGCTGAAGATAGGGCGGGAGCCTGGCAGGGAAAGTGGGCCTCCAGCACTGTGTGGGTGACCCCAGCTAGCACAGATGGCGCTGGAGATGAGCAGTGACTGAGGGGCCCAGAGCCCTTGGCTGGACGGGGCAATGGACAAGCAGGCAGGGGGAGGGATGGAAGGAATGTGGGGGGACACCAAGGATGGAGAGCTACCCTCACGGCGTCAAGGCCCAGGTGTGGGCGGAGGTGACAAGGACCGGCCACAAATGGACATCACACAGAAAGGGGCCCCAGGGCCCGACATGGGGAGTTTAAGAGAACCGGGGTGGCTAAGAAGGGCCAGGAGCTAAAAGTCTGTCAGACTGTGGGCACAGGGACCTCATCCTCCTGATGACACAGGGTGTAAGTGGGGAGTAGGAGGGACTGAATTCATAGCCCCAGGAAAAGCAGCAAGAAGGAAGAGCTCCTTAGAGCGAGGAGTCCTTATACCCAGCAATGGCCACTGGAGAGGCCCAGGGACAGCCTCATGCTATCCCATGGACAGGACTGGAAACGAGACCCTACCCCCACTCCAGACCTGCAGTAATGCTCTCCAAACCTAGGCTCTCTTCGCTCACAGCAACCTCTAGGCCAGTGATGGCGAACCTTTTAGAGCTTTCAATGATACAAATCGCCCGCTTTGGCATGGTTCCCACCATTGCCTAGGCTCTGCTGTGGCAGAATCACAATGCCTGGCCTCGCCCTGCATTCCAGGGAACGCTCGCCTAGAGGGGAGACTCAGGAGCTGGACATCAGGGCTGGAGAAGGAGATCTGGGGTGGGGAAGAGGGAGGTGATCTTCCAGGAGGACCTCCTCTCCCCAGAACAGCACCCTCCCACCACGGGGGGGGCAGGCCCAGGTATGACGGGATGGTAGGAAGACCAGGCCACAGCGGATGTCACGCAGAATGGGGTCCAAGCCCAGGGCTACCCCACCAGGGTGAAGACTGGAGGAGGGAGGAGCCCTGGCTTGGGCAGGTCACTGACCCCTGACCTCTGGCCCAGGGCCTGGGCCGGGAAGGTGCCCACTCAGTCCCAAGCCAAGCGAGGGAGCGGAGAAGGGGGTCTGGCCCTGGGGCCCTCACTCCCTCCTGGTGCGCCGGCTGCCTGGGGCTGGGAGGGCACCTTCTGGTGGACATCCTGGCGGGCGCGCGCACTCACGTTCTCGTGGCGCATATGCTTGAGCAGACGCAGCTCGCGGTAGGCGCGCTTGGCGAACAGCTCGGACTGGAAAGGCCGGTACAGCTTCTTGATGGCCACCTTG